GCCACTTCCAACTTTTTTCTTTTTGCTTATGTGGTGCTGAGGAATCAAACCCAGGGCCTCAGGCATGCAAGACAAGTGCTCTACCACTGAGCCACCTTCCCAGCCCACCTATGTACTTTTCTATAACATAGATTAGCTGAAATGTTTTGCCAGTTCTTGGATTTTGTGTGTGCGTACACATGCACTAGTCCTGCAACTTGAACTCAGGGCTCAGGAGCTGTCCCTGAGCTGTTTTGCTCAAGGCTACTCTACTATTGGAGCCACAACTCTACTTCTTGCTTCTTTGTAGTTAATTGGAGGTAAAGTCTCAAGGACTTTCCTATTGGAGCTGGGTTTGACCTGCAGTTCTCAGATCACAGCCTCATGGGTAGCTAGGATTACATGCATGAGCCTGTGGTGCCCAGCTTTCTGTTTTCATTTTGATACATATTATTTTATTTGTTCAGATGCACACACATGTTGTCCTTTGCGGTCCTCCCTAAGAAGGTGTAGCCCAAGCTGGACTCCTGCCTCATCCTCCTTGTTGATTACCAGTGTCACCACCATGGCTGGTGGTTTCCAGTTTTTGTTTTGTTTTAAAAATGTTTTTATTAGCGTATATTGTACACGGGTGGGTTTTATAGTGACATATAAGTACATACAGTACATACAATGTATCCCAATCAAGCTTACCCCCTCCATCTCTTCCCTCCTCTTAAAACAATTTCAACAAGTTTCATTGTTCTGTTTTTATATATCAACATAAAGTCCTTTGACCATATTCACCTTCATTTATTGTGCTTTCATCCCCTGTTGCTTCCCATACCCCAGTATGTTTTACTTTTGTGTGGTTGTTTTTCCTCCCACTTTTTTAAAGCATGTTTTAATTGTACAAAGAGCCCTTTTTAAAAACATTTTATTGTTATTATAAAGGTGATAAACAGAGGAATTACAGTTTCCTGAATCAGGTAATTAGTACTTTTCCTTTTGTACAGTGTCTTCTGTTCCTCATCGTCTCCCAGTCCCTCCCTCCTGTCTCCATCCATTGTGTAGTTCACTCTCATCAATGCCAAAGAGCTCCACTGCTGTGCTTTTTCACCCTTTTTCCCTTGTGTTCTGTACCCTCTGCCCTGCCTTCCCAAAGATACACACTTGAATACACCATACATAAAGAAAAGAAGACAGAATCATCAAAAACTAAAACTAAAAAACAAAAAATCTTGCAGTTTGTTTAGATACATATGAAATGACACTTCGGTATTGCGTCTTTATGATTCTCTCCTAAGTATATCTTCTTTTCATCTCACTGTGTATGAGAATCTAGAATCCTTTGTAATTTATCATGTCCCAGTGTATTTTAGATCTATTTTCTGCATGAGAGCACTAGCCATTTGTCTTACCTCACTTAACATGATTTGGCCTAGTTTCATCCGTTTCCCTGTAAATGACATTATTTTATTTTATTTCTAATGGCTGTGTGAAATCCATTGTGTATATGTACTTATACACAATGAGTGGAGTTTTTGGATCCACTCATCTATTGTGGGGCATCTGGGCTGTTTCCATACCTTGGTTATTGTGAATAGTGTGGCAATAAACATGGATGTGCAGGTGTCCTTGTCATATCTTGGCTCATGATGTTCAGGGTAGATGCCCAGGAGTGGTATGGCTGGATCATTGGGAAGATCTATGCTTACTTCTTTGAGGAACTTCCAGACTGCTGCCCAGAGTGGTTGTACTAGTTTACATTTCCACCAGCAGTGCACTAAGGTTCCTTTTTCCCCATGTCCCTGCCAGCATTCATTGTTTGAATTCACAATTTTGGCCAATCTCACTGGGGTGAGATAGAATCTCAGAGTTGTTTTGATTTGCATTTCTTTTATGACCAGTGATGATGAGCATTTCCTCATGTGTTTCTTTGCCATTCTTACCTCTTCAGTAATGTCTCTCCTTAGCTCCCTTGCCCGTGACACCATAAGTAATTAGTATATTAAGTTTGGGGGTGGGGGATTTATTTCTTGAGCTCCTTGTACATACTGGATATTAGGCCTTTGAAGTATTGCTGGTAAAGATCTTTTCCTAGTTAGTTGTCTATCTTTCTAGTTTAGTAAGTATGTCTTTAGCTATTCAGAAACTTTTTTCCCCACTTGGTATGATGTTGGCTAATGGTCTGTCATCTGTAGACCTTTATTGTTTTGTTTTTGTTTTTTAGCCTTTATTGTTTAAAGGAATGTTCCTTTATTCCTAGTTTCTCCAAAGCTTTTAACATGAATGGATAGTGTATTTTGTTGAAGGCTTTTTCTGCATTTATTGAGATGATCATGTGATTCTTAAAAGTCTTTGGTTCTGTTGACTGGTGAATTACATTTATTGATTTGCATATGTTAAAGCAGCCTTGCATCTGTGGAATGAAGCCTACTTGGTCATAATGTATGATTTTTTTTATTTGTTTCTGGATTCTCTTGACTACTGTTTTATTGAAGAACTTTCCATCAGTGTTCATCAAAGAAATTTGTCTGTAGTTCTCTTTATGTTGGATCCTTACCTGGTTTTGGGATAAGTGATATTGGCTTCATAGAAAAAAATTTGGAATTGATTTTTCTGTTTCACGGAAAAGCTTGAGGAGTATTGGTATTAGTTC